TTACTCTACCTTTATTTGTTTCGATTAATAACAACCACTTATGCTACTCCACTAATAATCAGAAAAGATCATTGTCTTCAACATACTTACAACATCAAATTTCTAAATATAATCTCTTCACCAAGGTCACAAAATAAATCGCAACTTCTTTTATAATAACATATATGAATCCGGCGCGTAGCGCCGGTACACCACTAGTCTTATATAATAAAAGAGACTTTTATCTCTCCTCAGTCCTCCACATCAGATTTTAGCATAGGGCAAAAAATTCCACGTGGCATCTCAGATTTTGGGCCATTCGGTTCTATTTTTTGGGCTGGACTCACGATTTAGAAAGCTGTTTCAATTGAATTTCTTATTCTATTTTTTGGGCTGCAAGTATCTTATTATATAAAGCTTGGTTTTCAAAGTTACTAATTAACATGATTGTGACATGTGGCAATTACATATCTAAGATTATGACATATGTTAAATCATAATTTTCCTTTTTTTTCTTAAATACTTAATCTAAACGAATTTATTTTTTTCTTACAATTTTCCTTCTTAAAAATACACTTAAACTAAACAAATTTAAATCATAACTTTCCTTTTTAAATACTTAAACTAAAAACGAATTTCATTTTTTCTTACAATTTTATTTATAAAAATACTCAAACTAATCGGATTTATTTTTTTCTTAAAAATAATTATTTAATAGTAATTTTCCTATTTAAGTTAAAAAAAAATTCAAAATTTTTCTTAGAAATATTTATTAATAGTAATTTTTATATTGTTCTAATTTTTACAAAATATTGTAAACAACCAAAAAATCGATATTAATATTAGTATTTATTTTCCTAAGCATGAGTTTAAAATAATTACAAAGAAAAACAGTATTTTAAGTTTTATATACAAAATAAAATCTTAAAATTCTTATAAATATAATAGTATTTTAGATTTTACAAAGAGAATTCTAAAATCAAAATTTATTATAATTTTATTTTAGTTGTAAAATCTTATTTGCACTACCAAATATAATATGTGTTTAAAATAATTAGAAGTCTATAAATTTATTTTAGTTGTAGTATTTATTTAAAATAAAATTATATTTGAAAAGTCAAAAAACATGGGTTAAGATAATTACAAAATCAGTAGGCATTGGTTTAAAATAAATAACTTTCTTTAAAATTCCAAACAAAAAGAGAACTGTAAAAATATTTTTATTATTTTCATATAATTAACTATTTTTTATGGAAGCCCATTGGTCTAGGTTTGACTAAAGATTAATTTTTTTAGATTATCAGGTCCATGTTTTGAGTTTGTGAGAAGGAAAATTATCAGTTTACTGGACAAAATGTTTATAAGATAATTTTAGCATTGTACAAAAATTATGTATGGTGTGAGTCCTATGTAAAACTTATGGGGATGTAGACGTGAATCCTTATAAAATGCGTACAATTGTTGACTGTAGAACGCTTATCTAATTTCTTTCACAATTTGTATTAATATAATTAACCACGGATAACAAATCTATAATTGTTTTATATCATCGATACACATTGATATTTATCTATAAGGTTTAAAACTAATATATAGTTACAAATAAATAAATATATCGATATATACTGATCTATTATTAAAGTTTAAAACTAATCAATTTTCTTCAGTTACAAAATTGAAGTAATAGTCGATGATGGAAATTACTTGATGATAATAACATAGATATAACTGGAACAACTATGGAAGAACTAAGATTTAAATATTAAAAATATAATAATCTGTGCATGTTATTTGTGTTATTATAATTTTATCTACTAATCAATATTGACAGTTTAAAATAAACACACATGAACAAGGATTATAAGATATTTCCAAAGAACGTACATTTAATTATGGATGAAATTTATTTATTTGAGATAAATGTTAAAAAGGATAAATTCAATATTTTTATCAAAGTTGTAAAGATTCATAAACACATAAAAGTAAATATACTATATCTTATATTAGGTAGATATATTATATCTGTAACTTAATTACTTGAATTTTATTTTTTCTGTTTAGTCAATTTCTGTGGATAATATTGTGAAAATAACAAAGAAAAGAACGAAACACAAAGGTAAGAAGAAACAAGCGATACTTTTTAGAAAAATTCAAAACATTTAGATCCATGTAATCTTTAAAATTTATAATATATCAATGTTTTATTGTCTATTTTAAAAACAGTAGATGTCTTTATTTTTCATTTTTAGTTATATCCCTTTTGTTAAAGCATGCTAGGTGCTTTAAATGAATTCAAGGTAGCTTAATATAATTTTGATTATTTTGATTTTAGTATTTTTTTAGCGTTTAACTGTATTCACATTTTTATGAATAATCATATGAAAATTAGGATGTTGTCATGTTTAATTTTTATGTGTTTGGTCATACGAAAATCAAAAACCTATTTGATATAATTTTTAGTGTTCAGTCATTTAAAATATTAATATATTATAACCATAATTTATCTTTATATGTGTTTGGTTAAAAAAAATCAAGTTCCATGCATCACCTTATTACATTTTGTTTGTGGTTACTCTGTTTTTATAATTCATTTTTAGTTAAGTTGTTATAATGAAAATATATCATCAAAAATAATGAATTCGTAAAATTAGAGAAAACGAATCAGTAGTAAGAAAGTTATTTATTGTTACTAAAAAGTGGGAAGTAAGTAATTTGAAAAAAATAAAATAAAGAACAAATAGGAATAAATAAATTTTCTCTTAGTTGATGTAAAGATAAATATTTAGTTCCTTTTATTATTTTATTAAAAAGGTTATATGTATAGTTATGTAATTAATTGTTTTGTTCAGAAAATCATAATTTAATATTATATGCATATTTCTTTTCTAGAAAATTTTGTTAATATAGCTGCATATTCAAAGTAAGAAAAAATTTGAAATTGGCTGCTGGATTTCGTCATGCAATGCGACCATTAAAAAAAGAGAAACAAGACTCTAAAATATATATTTAATATTGAATATCATATATTTGAAATGAAATAAAATAAAAATCTTTCTAATGATTGTATTTTTTTCATGTCTATTAAAACATGTACTAATACAATATATTTTCATAAAAGATTATTCATACAATCGAGATTTTAAAACATAATTTTTATAAAACACATATATTTTTGTGGCTACAAGGATCAAAACAAGATAAAATTTCATAAGGTATTAATAGTTTTATTACCTCTAAATTAGATGATAAAATGCTGATACATAATGTTTTCTATTACCTATACAACTAAGATTATTTGCAATTCACTTATAGATTCATCTATAAATTTTGTTCTAAAATAGAGAAATTCTATTACCATAGTATATAAATGATAAAAGCACAGAAAAATCGAGACCTTACAATGACAACACAAGCATTACTAAATTACAATTGAAATTTCATAATATGTTTGAGTAAGAAGAATAAAAGCAAATTAATAAAGACCAAACTAAGAGTTTAATAAAGTATATTCCATTATCATATACTTGATTGGCTTGATTCACCTTTCAAATTCTTTGTATTTCACTCTAATTTACATTTCTTTAGATTGCGTTTAATTTGAACTTTCGGGTCTCGCTTATTTTCTCTAGCTCTACGTATATGTGCCATGATTATTGAATTGAAATTTAACCAAAATTTATATAAAAAAATCGAATTTTGATTCATAAAATGAATTCGACACACCATATATAAAAACATTCAATTTCAATAAAAAAAAAGTTTCTTATTTTTATCTTTTTTTATTAAACTTATAAAACATTAATCAAAACCCGTGCAACGCACGGGTCCATATCTAGTTCAGATATAAAGCTCATATAAGATCGAGAAGCTAATCACAAGATCAACGGTCAGAGGATCAATCATGTACTACTTTGGTTAGCTTATAAAACCAACCCGACAGAATCAAAGACACACTGTTGGAAGTTCGAAGCTTAAAACCCGCATGACCGGAACATAAACATAAATCTCAACATTTTGTATCTTTCATTTTGGGTCATTAGAGTACAACAAAGTCTGATAAAGCTTATTACACATGACTGGGTAAAGAGTATAGTTATGTTAAATATAAAAGGAAAGCGAAGAGCTTAACCTTGTAGTATAGAAACTACAGAGCATAACATCTAACACTGATGAGATGACATAATTTCTACAGACTGTAGTTCAGCATGAAGATACAGAGATCATCATCACATATCCATGTCGTCAAAGATCTCTTCATCTTCTTCGTATGAAGGTGTGTCAGCGAGAAAAGCATCATTGCCAGGTTACTGCAACATACATTTTAAATTCTTAGAAAGGTTCTGAAAAAAGAACAGACAACTTGGTAGTCAATCAAACCTTATGCAGCAGAAACAAAACCCGCAACACGCTTCTTTTTCGGTTGTAGAATAAGAAACAGAAAGACCATCTGGATTTGACCAAAAAGAAAGCAAAAAAAAAGGAAGTAGTCTTTTATAGTTAACATTCAGGCTAGAATCTATGGATCGAAAACAGAAAGATGTTGCAGCTCACATTGGTCCTTCAAGGAAATGATCAGCGTTAGGATTTGGGTTGTACACATATATCTCACATTCAGCTAGTTTTGCGACCTGCAATCAAATTGGTATGATTTAGATCTTACCAATACTCATTCCAGCTTCTAATGTTCTTTACTACAACAATGAGCTTACCTCATCAAGAGCCACGTAGATTGCCCAAGTAGGGAACAATCCTCATTCCTCTCAGTCCATTCCTACAAAGCAGAAACATTAAGCATTGTTGAACAGACGAAAACTCTATTTGACTTACATGGTAAAAAAAAACAAAATAGATTGGAAGAAGGTTAGTATCACAGAGCTTACAAACTTACCATCTAACACCCTAAGAGCAAAGGGTAAAACTCTATTTTACTTACATGGTAAAAAAAAAAACAAAATAGATTGGAAGAAGGTTAGTATCCCAGAGCTTACAAACTTACCATTTAACACCTTAAGAACAAAGATTAGTATCACAGAGCTTACAAACTTACCATATATATATAGAATAACTTAATATATATTATTTTATCATACATTAGTTTATGTATACGAAAATTCTCAAAACTTCACGATAAAATACAACAACATTTGTGACTGCTTCCATACGGTGCACATATAGCATTATTAAAAGGTGGTTTGTTCACTCCACATCTATCATAACAATCTACTTTTTTTGTACATGGTCCTCTGAAATCACAATCAGATGAAGCATCCATCATTCCTGAATCAGCCACCACAATAGTAAATATATATACACGTTAAATCATTTAAAGTTTCTTACTAACTAGGTGTTTTCCAAAAGTTTTAAAAATAAAATTATATGTAACAATAAAATTTAGTTAGTTTTTAAATTTATTATTTTGTTACATTATTAATTTTACGTTAATTATATGTAAAAACTAATTTAAAATAAACAACTTTTATTTAATTATATTTAATAATATATATATATATCTATATATTTAAAATTAAAATTTTGGAAAGATTTTTTTTTGATCTTTTTCTTTTGATTAAAATATATGTTAAATCAGATTCTATATAATTAAAAAAAATAAAAATATGTAAATCTAAAAATAAAATTATATTTAAAAATAAAATTTAGTTAGTTTTTAAATTTATTATTTTTTACATTATTAATTTTACGTTAATTATATGTAAAATTTAAGTTAAAATAAACAACCTTTATTTTAATTTATATTAGTAATATATATGTATATATTTAAATTAAAATTTCAGAAATATTTGTTAATCCTTTTCTTTTGATTGAAACATGTTAAATCAGACTCTATACAATTAAAAGATATTTTTAGGTATATAATTATCAAAATATAAAATTAAATAATATTGTAAAAATTATAGATGTTAGAAATAAAACTAACGGTATTGAGATTATAAAATTATATTTTTATAAAAACCCGCATAAAATCTTGCAAAAATTATTAATAAAATTATATAATTATAAAAATAGACTTGAAAATAGGGGGTTTGGCAAAACCAACCGAAAAATTCAAGTCAAACACAAAACCAACCTCTTTTTTTTGGTCATTACTATTCACTCTTAAAAAACCTAAACTCTCCTCATGTTTCTACCTATTTACCAAATTGCCATTATTATTAAATATGATATTATTTTCAAAAATTATTAAAAACCTTTTACACCCTAAACCTTTCTCCTTATTTACCACAATGCCATTAAGCTTGTGTTTATGAATTTTTAACCACTTATTTCACTTTCTAAACAAACAATACTTCATTTCCTTTTATTTCCTCTCTATTTTCATCTAAACAATCCTCATAACTCCCATTTTCATAAACACAAACTTCATAGTTTCGATTTTATTCACAAGTGAATCGTAAAGGTTGCTTCTTTTGATCATATTTGGATTATGGACGGTGGAAAAGCTTTGAAACAAGCTTTAAACCGGTGTCAAGGTAACTATTTACATGCTTTTCGTCATATCTCTGATTTGTATCGCGAAAGTAGATTGTATTATATGTCTACACTTACGTGTAGACTTACGATGCAGTCTACTTGTCAACGCACAGGTTACTTTTGCAATTGACCAAAATAATTTTTTTTTGTAATGTAGACCTACAAGTACGTCAACGTCTTTACCTTTGAAACCAATAACAAAAAAAATTGGTAGACTTACTAAGAAATCTACATAAAAGAGGTTAGATTTGCATTTGACCAAAATTTTGACTTACCATAGTAGAGTTTCTTGGAAGTCTACACTTTGTAGACTGCTATGTAAGTATACGGAAGGTCAGTTTTGCATTTGACCAAAACTTTGACTTTGTTGAATATGTTTCTTTTGTATTTGACTAAAATATCTAGAAACTGACTAAAACTTACTTTACGTGTAGACTTCATATGCAGTCTACAAAACTTAGGAAAAAAAGTAGACTGCATATGAAGTCTACTATTTTATGGTGGTCAATTGCAAAACTAACCTGTCGGGTTATAATGTAGACTTTTACTGCAGTCTATAGTTACGTGGACATTTAGTTTTGTCTACTAGTAGCAAGTCAACTTTGGTCAATTGCAAAACTAACATCTTTCAAACAAATTTAAAAATGTAGACTGCATAGTAAGTCAACTTCTAAAAGTCAAACTCTGAACGAATTCTGGTCAATTGCAAAACTAACCTTTTTAAAAATGTAGACTAAAAAGTAAGTCTACTCGTATAAAATCACATCTTTTTTTTCAAATACAGAAAGTAACCCGTGAATTTGGCAATTGCAAAAACCAACTTAAACGTAGACCTAATTTGCAGTCTACAAAATGTAAACTGAATAAAACGTCTACCCGTCTGTAGACTGAATATGTAGTCTACCTTGTAAAATCTATCAAAAGTGGATTTGTGTATTATTCATTAAGTTTTTTCAAAACTTTTTTTTTATGAAAGTGTGTGTTAGTTAATCATAAGGGTCTTGAATGATTTTCAGAAGATAATCTGTTATAATTAGGAAGTTATCAAATTTTTTGTTTGTCTATGTTGTTAGCTTAAAAATTGTAGACGTACTTGTAAGTCTATGATATAATTTTATCAAACATGAAATTTTGGTTTGCTAATTATGTAAACCGTTTTGTTTTGCAGGAAATGGTTCAACTACCTGTTGTATACGGAGAATGGGTGGTGAAAGACTCTTTGTGGGAGTTTGAGGTCGATAATCGGAAAGGAGGGAGAATGTTGGTGAACTTCTTGAAATGGCACAAGAAGATTATGATCTGAACAAGAAAAGCGAGATGGTGGAGCTGAAGTATTCCCTACCAGACGTGATCTTAAAGGAAATGGCTCTAGATACGCCCCCTGTGCATGTCACGAATGATAGACAAGTGCGGAACTTGATCGAGTTATCTAAGACTCATATGGTACGCCTCTGTGTATCAAGCCAGTGCCAAGTAGAAGCTGATGATGTGCCTGATGGTGATGATAATATATTTGCTGATGAAGATACTGATGAATGGTTGGATGAAGATAGTAATGTTGGTGATGATGAAGGGTTGGATGAAGATAGTAATGCTGATAATGATTTTCAAGCAACTGCTGATCTTGGTGTTGATTTTGACGATTGTGTAAACTACAGTGATTATGAGAAAGCGAAAGGTGAAGATTCTGACGAGGATGCAAATGAAATGTTTTATGATGGATATAAAGCGCAGTACTCTGGAGTTGTAGGAAGATCGATGTCCTTCAATGAAAATATATATGTCGGTCAGAGTTTTGCTAGTAAGGATGATGTTGTTTCAAAGCTGAAGTTGGTGGCTGTGAGAGGTAAATTTACATTCACAGCTTATAAGACAACAAAAACTCTGTATGTGGCTAAGTGTTGTGTTCAAGGATGTGGTTGGAAGCTTAGAGCGAGTGTAAAGCATGGACCTAAGACATTTTGGGTGACAAAATATTTGAACACTCATACATGTTCAGTGGGGGATCGAATGGCTCATCGGAAGCAGTATACTCTGAAATATGTTGCTAGTCTATTTATAGATCGAGTGGGGATTCTAGATGGGCTTACACCGAAGCATATCAAAGATGCAATGAAGAATATGTTTGGGCTGAAGCTAGATTACACAACTTCTTACCGAGCTTTGCTACACGCCCAAGTGTTGGTGAGGGGAACAGCAGAGGATGGATATGAGAATCTGCCTTCTTATTTGTGTCGGATCAAGAAATCGAATCCGGGTACCGTCACATGTCTTGAGAAAGATGGACATAACCGATTTAAGTATCTGTTCCTATCTTTTGGAGCTTCAATAGCTGGTTTTTAGTATCTTAGGAGGGTTATTGTGGTGGATGGGACTCATCTAAGTGGAAAGTATGAAGGAGTTATGCTAGTTGCTGCTGCCCAAGATGGTAATTTTAATATTTTCCATTGGCTTTTGCGATTGTGGATGTGGAGAATGATCTTTCGTGGGAATGGTTTTTTACCAATTTGCGGAAGTGTGTTTCAGATGAGTGTGCTTTGGTGATAGTTTCTGACAGGCACGGTTCCATTAAGAAGGCATGTGAGAAGATTTTCCCTTGGGCACAGCGAGGAATATGCTATTATCATCTACAACAAAACATAGTCAATAAGTTCAAGGGAAAGCACATGTTGTACTTGGTCAAAGGCGCTGCTTATGCACACACGCTATTCGATTTTAACCGCTACATGGACGAGATAAGGAGTATAAACCCCAGCCTTGCAACATATTTGGAGGAAGCTGACATCTCGTTATGGTCACGAGTTCACTTTCAAGGTGACAGATACAACATTAAAACTAGCAACATCGCAGAATCGATCAACTCTGCACTTAAGCCAGCCAGAGGATTCCCCATCTCATTCCTTCTTGAGTTTATACGCAAGAAGCTGGGAAGGTGGTTCTTTAAAAGGAGGGAAGATGCTTTGAGTCTCACTACACATCTTAGTAGGGTGGTTGAAACTCTATTGGCTATTCGTGAAGAGTATGCATATATGATGGATGTGGAACGTATTGATGAGTGGCGATTTTTGGTGAAAGGAGGACATCGAGATTGTGTTGTTCACTAGGAGCATCGAAGGTGTCAATGTGGTGTGTTTGATATTGAGAAGATACCTTGTTCACATGCCATTGCAGCAGCAAAGGATGCAAGTATTCATGTTTCCACGCTTGTATGCCCATCCTATTCAAAGAATTATCTTTATGAAGCATACGCGGTAAATATCTACCCCAAAAGTGACGATGTAGAATCTCCCATAAGCAAAGAAACACCACCTGCAAATGAAGATTTGGAAGCTCCACCTGCCAATGAGGATTTGGAAGCTCCAAGTGAGGACAAAGAAGCTTCTAACAGCCGTAAATGCCTTTCTCCAGATGTCAAGCGTGGTCCGGTTAGGCAAAAGAAGTCGAGGTGGCAATCTTGGCTAGAAATTTCCAGGATGAGGGGAAACAGGCAACGAAAGCTGCACAAGAATTATAGCTGCTCTTAGTGCAAAAAAACAGGACACACTGCTCCAAACTTTCCAGACTAAACCTCTGCTAGTGTCTTATGTATTGTCTTATTGCTATCGATGTTCTATTATGTCTTATGTGTTGAACTTATGTGTTGTCTTATGGCTATCGATGTTCTATTATGTCTTATGTGTTGAACTTAT